GCGACCCCTGTGGGGGCATCTGAGTCCCAGTCTCTCCTTCCCACACCTAGTTCCTGGGACTTTCTGGGAAAGGAGACTGGTCTCCCCCTCTCACCTGAACTCCTTGTCCCACCAACCCCAGTTCCCTCACTATGATTTCATCTGACCCATCTCCCCACCATACCCCTGGCTCTGTCCTAGCATCCCCTGCACAATACCCTCCTCATCTCCTTGCTCTAATCTCCTCCCTCCTTGGCTCTTTGTCCCAGTCTGTTTGCTGAGCCACTTGCATCTTTCCACCTGCACTCTAGCTCCTTGTCAGAGCTCCTCGCTATCCCCTCCTACTGATTCCTAGTCCCAGTCTCACCACAGCTCCTCACCCAATCTCAGTTTCTTCCCCCCTCACCCCACAAACTGGCTCCCAGTCCCGTCCCCCCCATTTCTCTCACCAGATTCCAGTCCCAGTCTTTCCCAATCTTCCAGTCCCAGCCTCCTTATCCAATTAGTTTCAGCCTTCAACCCCCAACCCCAGCTTTCAGTCTTCCTGCCCAGCCAGTTTATGTCAGTTCCTCCCTCCTCCTCCAGTCCCAGTCTCACCAAACTCCTTATCCCAATTTACTTGTTTTCCTCACCGCTGATCCAGCTCTTGTTCCTTCTGCATTTGAATCAAACGGCTTCTACCTCCACACTGACTGGACGCCAATAGGGGGATCATTAAGAGCACTGAAGAGATAGGTTCTCTGCTCTCAGCTCCAGTGCCTAGCCCAGAGGTGGGCAAACTACGGCCCATTGGCCACATCCTGCCCAGCTCCTGAGCTCCCGGCCGGGGAGGCTAGTCCCTGGCCCCTCCCCTGCTGTCTCCTCTCCCGTGCTGCCTCAGCACGACGCGCCGCCAGCGCTCTGGGCGGTATGACTGGCTCTGGCCGGGCGGCAGCGAGCTCCTGCCACTCTGAGCAGCAAGGTAAGAGGGTGGGGAGCGGGGGTATTGGATAAGGGGCACGGGGTTTTGGGAGGCAGTCAGGGGACAGGGAGC